TCCCTGCTCCTGCTTCTCACCCCTCCAGATTCTGTGGCTGAAATTGGACACAGAATTTTCTGGTTTTGGGCACAATGCATCTGTTTTCCTATGGTTCTTGCTTTTTTATCACATTTCCATTAAGCTAAAAAAGGTAGAAAATATCTGCTCACCTCTCTAATGCTATCAGCACCACGTTCTCTGGGAAACCTGGGCACCAAAAAGCCAAATTGTGTTTCTGTAAAAAGTGTGTCCTTCCCTGCAGTTGCCCAAACACTTTTGTAGAGGGAGGACTTGCAATATGTGGAGTTAAACCAGAAGTTGAAATATAGTCCTGTATTGATGGGATGTGAGAGCCAGTGTGGTGTAGCGGTTAAGGCACCAGGCTAGAAACCAGGAGACCCTGAGTTCTAGTCCTGCCTAGGCACGAAGCCAGCTGGGTGACCTTGGGCCAGACACTTTCTCTCAGCCCTGGGAAGGAAGGAGGCAAGGGCAAGCGCCTTCTGAAAAACCTTGCCAAGAAAACTGCAGGGACTTGTCCAAGCAGTCTCCAAGAATCGGACACAGCTGAACAGATTAAAAAAAATTATCCGGATAGCAAGAGCTTTGGGGGGCAGCATGAGCAATAACTATTGGACTTTCCAGGGAATTCTTTTCCCTGTTGATTTGTCTCCCCCAGAATTCCAGTTTTTCACAAAGAATTCTGGGGCATACTACACACACACTACACTTGATCTTAGCCAAAAGGCCGAGAAGCGGAAAGATATATGCTCCTCTTACAGGGTCAGGTCTGATAGACTTCACATTCTACATAAAAAGGGGAGGGGCCTGAAAAATGATGCAGCTGCTTTCATGAATCCAAGTATGAAAGCAGTATGTTTTTGAACGCGACGCTTAAAAGCAGCTGTATCATTTTTCAGGCTCACGTGGAAGCCTGCAAAAAACAGATGTTCAGGCTTTAATGAACAGCAGTGGGATGTTGTGTTTGCACAAGGTCCAAATTCCTTCTTCCCAATTATTTCCCAAGGGTGTCCCTCTCAAATAAATAGCATTTGCTACACAGATTAATTGCGATTAGGATCAGCAGCACCCCATTAAACATATTGCTGCAAAAACTGCTTTTTAGCGATGAAAGGAAGCCATTGTTAGCAGCAATGATCGGGAGAAGAGATGTCTCCTGATCAAACTTCTGCATTCTTTAAAAGCTTAGATCCTGCTACATCAACTTTGCATGCAATGGCTAAATGGTCTTCATGCTAACTACAATCTCAACCTCCACCTTCATCCGTCGGCACTACAAGATAATGATAACATGGAAATGTAATGATGTATATCATGTTGCTGCAGAGCAGGGCTGAGGAACCCCAATGACTGTGTTCATACAACACATACTGAGGTAGGAATGGAGGACCTGTGGCTTTCCACATGTCGAACTACAACTTCAGCCATAAATAAATGATGAGCAATGCCAGGAACTGGAGTGGGGGCTTCAGGTTCTTGGATGTTCAGGTTGGTGCATGATTCCAACTATTATTTTGGGAATTCATTTCATCTGAGTTCAGCTGTGCGTTTTTACATTGCAGTGTGGTCCCAGAGCAGTCTAAGAAGTCAAAATTCAAATCTATAGGAATTAATATTGCCTACAATACTGCCTATCCTCTTCTGCCATGGCTTAGGACAATACGTGAGTGTCAGGTTGCTCTAACTGCAAAGACTGGCTAATAATTCACAGTAGGTTTTTAAAAAATTATACAGCCACCAAGCAAAGCCTGTTTTGGACAGAGGTCCTACTTTGAAGACAACTCAAAGTAAGACAGAGGGTAGCTTCTGTGGATTGGCTGACATTGGTTTGGCAGATATAGATAACATTTAAAACTATAAATGAGGAAGATCAGAACTCAGTACCTATGGGAAGTCATGGGGACCAAAGATTGAGGCTCTGTCTCTTTAACT